CAAACTTTACTTTTGCCTTGGGCGGCAAAAATCCTTGTACCGGCCCTGGCTGGAGGGGGCTGTGTGAGCTGTGGCCGCACAGTGTCCCATGGTAGTTAGGGTACCGTGCGGCCAGTACAGCTCACTCAAGCAAACAGCTGATAAACTGGCCGCACGGAGGAAATGTGTATGTGTGACTGTCTGCCTGTGACTGTGTGTGACTGTCTGCCTGTAACAGTGTGTGACTGTCTGTCTGTAACTGAGTGTGTGACTGTCTGCCTGTAAATGTGTGTGGGGGCTGCAGGGATTTTGTAGAAGGGGAGAGTTTTATACATAAAAGTTTACAAATTATAAAAAAAAGAAGAAAACCTTTAAAAAAAAATTCAGTTTTTTTGGGGGGGGGGGGGTGCCAAGCACAGGATCCGCCCCGGGTGCCAAATGCTCTAGGTACGCCCCTGCCTACCAGTCCAGGATTTAGGGTTCACCCAGTTGTATCTAATGGGATTTTTTTTTCTAAAACCATTTTAGACACATCTGTGTAATCCCTAACTCCTGAACTGGTAAGAGTTTCTTAAAGGACTTTGGTAACCACTGTTCTAACAGATTTACGTCTTGCATGGGTATGCTGGATGCCTCTCCCCACCTTCACGGAGTGATTAGCATGGCATGGCTTAGCTCAGGAGAGGTAACTCCTTAGGAACTTACAGCTCTCCTGTCATGGATATTGAAGGCAGGAAGTGGAGTTCGGTGGACCCCACATTATAAGTCAAGCTATGTAAAAATGGCTTAACTCCTAATAATAAAGCTGAAGTGGTTCTTGGAGTGTTAAGGGGTTTTTCGTCCCGGTTGACATTGCTTGTATCACACTACATTGAATTTACACTAATTTTAAACAGACTGGAATAAGGCAACTATGTTTAAAAACCCTGTTAAGGATGGTGCAATCAAACTGCATTATATATGTCCAACAATTAACAGGAGTAATTATTGTTTAATTAAAAACTAATTTTAATAGATTTTTTATTGTCTAACTTGGACATAGGTAATGTTATTCTTTATATCTTATTATCCACCTTTTGTTCTTTATCAACTTTCTATTTTTACTTTGCTGTGAATTATTACTTCACTTTCAGTAGTAAAAAGAAACCATCCCTCATTTATTAAAAAGTAATTTTGCAAGCTGAAAGAAAATCTTCCAAATGGCACATTGCATATAGACATTCTGCATTAACATTCTGAATAATTAAAAAAGCATAATTTACTCAAGTGAGTAATGATTTCAGTTGCAGAGACTGTATAAAGATTTGAATTATATAAATAATCACAAGGTTGGATACATATTTGAATAGAAACTATAATTTGAAAAAAAAAGTTTTAATAATTTTTGCCTGCATATTTCTAAAAACTACAGATTTCTCGTAATCCATTTTATAATTGTATATACCATTCTTTTTCTAGACATGTGCGAAAAGTTGATTTGTCCAAATCAAAATCCTTTTTAATCAATATTTCAACAAATCGATCATGGTTATTTTTCAGATTAACCCCTTAAGGACATAGTTTCAGAAATAAAATGGAGTCATGACGGAATGTTTCCGTCATGTGTCCTTAAGGGGTTAATAAGACCAGAGGTCAGGAAAATAAGAAACAGTATTAGGGGCATTTATGTCAAAGGGCATTATAACAAGCAGAAGAGCACTCCAGTAGAGATACATTTGTGAAACTCAGCTTAGAAACACAGTCCTAAATTATCTATGCATTATGAGGAGTTCCCCTTTACAATATACAGGGTGGAAAGACCAAAGCAACATGTAAGAAAAGTGCATGGTGCGAGACACATCAGGAAACTCAGAAACAGCTGAGACAACCATGAGTGGCCAGTAAAACTACAGGTGGCCAGTGCAAGGGGCCAAAACACATATTCTGTTTGTAGTATAATCTGGGCAGCTTGACAATTTGTAAACCAGCCCTTAGAAATGTCTTCTTCGGACTGAAATTTAGTTTCAATTAGTACAGTATACTTTTAATTTAAATTGTATAGTTCTGTCCAAGCAAAAATGTTAGTGAACAGTTTAAAAATCCAAGAAAACGTTGCGCACTTAATATCTAAATTTATGAACATGAATAATCTTGATACAATGAGCAATTCTAAACAAACCCTGTATATCTTTTTACTTAACCTCTTAAGGACCAAGACTAGCAATCACTACATCTAAATAACGTGATACTGTGGTCTAAATGTCTGCGAAACAGCATTGCTTACATTTTGTCATTTCCATACCGAGTAGTGGCTGTCAGACAAACAACCACTAGTGGTTTGAGACCAAAGTAGGATCAAAGTAAAGCATGCTGAAACCAGACATTAAAGAAGACACACTATAAAATACAGTGTGGATACTCACACTGTATTTTATAGTGTGTCTTTTTTATGCTTTTAAGGTTTTTGGTTATTCCTTTTTTTTCCCAATTTCAGAGCTATTCATCCTGTTCTGTCTCATTCCCTCTTTTTTTCTTAACATTCGTCTTGAATATCAGAATACCTACATTTTATATTTGCATCCAATATTTCTCTATAATGAGCACGAGATCCAATGCTTCTCATTGGATTTGATATCCATGGCTATTGTGTACACTCTGTGTGCTCTCAATAATTCTCTTTGAGAAGCAGTTTGTTGGAAAAATCATAAATTTTAAAGGAACACAGCACAAAAAAAAGGATTTTTTTAAAACAATTTAGAAGATATACATGTATTTTTTTCTGCATGTTTTCTTTGGGGTATAGGAACAAGCGACTTTCAAAAGCTGCAGGCCTGATGTGTATATTTGTTATGTTATTTTTAATTACAAATGTTTCTTATGCTTCTTATTACAGTGTTCGGCACTATAACCAGGGCCGGACTGGGACCTAAAATCAGCCCTGGAAAAAAATTCTATACCAGCCCAATAATGCTTCGCACCAGCATAGTGTGCTGATATAGAGGGTGAAAAAATAACTTGAAATTGAAAACTCTTACTCCAACGAAGGAACGCATATAGGGCTTCAAAATAAACAAAAGAGCGCCTTTATTTTAAGTAGACGTACATTTGCATGTAATGTTTCAGTACAACTACTTTGGCCTATTAAGGACATTTTAGTAATGGTACTGAAATGCTGAATGTCTGCAGTTGCACAACTAAAAAATGAAGTGATCTTGTTTATTTTGAAGTTCTATGGGTGCGCTCTTCACTTTGAATATGTTATTGTGCATGAGTATGCAACTAGCAACAAGACAGGGCCAATACGTGCTCATTATATATAATGACATATTTAATGACATTTATGTGTGTATTATGCATAAATAAATGTATATTACGATATGTGTAAATATTATAGGCATAATTATATGTTACTAATACACACATCAATATACATGCATATATATATATATATATATGTGTGTATTACTGTCAGGATCACATCAATTTATGTCTATTACCTTTACCTCGTTTAGTGTATCTTGTCTCCAATTGTCTCCTTTTTTTCTCTTACAGCGACCTTTGTGCATCTTTTACTTCATCCCAGTCCCTGTGTGTTTCTTTTTACCCTTCTCCAGCCTCTGTATTTCTCTTTCCCCAGCCCCTTTTGTGTTGTTCTTAGCCCCAGCCACTTTGTCTCTTTCTCCCCTTCCAAATCTCATCTGTGTGTCCCTTTCTAACTCCAGACTCCGTGTGCCTCTTTCTCTTCTCCCAGTCACTCTGTCTCTTTTTCCTCAGCCCAGCGTTGCCTCCCACAAATCTTGTGTCACTTTGTTCCCCTTCCCTACTGCATGTCTCTTTGTCCCCCCAACAAACCTTCCGTGTGTCTCTCTTCCCCAACTCCTCCCTGTGTCTCTCTCTTACCCCTCTGTCTCTGTGTCCCCCCTTCTCCTGTGTCTCTCTATTACCCCTCTCTTTGTCCCCCCAACCTCCTATTACCCCTCTGTCTCTTTGTCCCCCATTCCCTGGTGTCTCTCTATTACCCCTCTATTTGTCCCCCCCTTCCCCTCTATTTGTCTCCCCATTTCTATTTGTCCCTCTCTTTCCCTATTTCCCTTCCCCTCTATTTGTCTCCCCCCATTCCCTTCTATTTGTCTCCCCCTTCCCTGTATTTGTCCCTCTATTCTCTTTGTCTCCCTCCTTCCCTATTTGTCCCCTATTTCCTCTATTTGTCCCCTCTTCCCTCTATTTGTCCCCTTCCCCTCTTTTGTCCCTTCTCTCCATTTGTCCTCTTCCCTCTTGTCTCCCCTTCCTCTATTTGTCCCTCTTCCTCTATTTGTCCTCTTCCCTCTCTTATTCCCTCTTCTCTTTATCCACGACATCTTCACCTCTCTATTTGTCCCCTTCCCTCTTGTCCCTCTTCCCCTATTTCCCCATCCCTCTTTTTGTCTCCCCCCACCCCTTCCCCTTCTGTGTGCCTGCTTACCTTGTCACAGGAGGACTGAGGGAGGGGGCGGAGCTAGCTAGTAGCTACCATGTTCCCTCGCGGTTTCCATAATTCCCAGCATCTACACATCATACAGTAATCCCTACTCTATGATGTGTAGATGCTGGGAATTCTGGGAACCGCGAGGGAGCATGGTAGCTACTAGCTAGCTCCACCCCCTCCCTCAGACCTCCTGTGCTGACAGCCGCATGGCTGTCAGTATCAGTGAGTGTGCCGCTGGATCGCTTAGGCGGCCGCCCGGCACACTCACTGATCCTGACAGCTGTCAGCACAGGAGATGGGGCCGCCGGCCGCAAGGTGAGTATTCACCTCAGAGTGTGCCGCCGGACCGGCCACCCGGCGGCACCGACATGCGGCCGGCGGCCGCGATATTATTAAAGTAAAGGGAGCAGGGCTCCCTCTCTCTCTCTCTCCGGCCCCCCAGGTGCCGCGGCCCACCGGGAAATTTCCCGGTATCCCGGTGGGCCAGTCCGGCCCTGACTATAACCCAATATGCCATTTTAGTTCATTTAACCCCTTAAGGACACAGAACATGTGTGACATGTCATGATTCCCTTTTATTCCAGAAGTTTGGTCCTTAAGGGGTTAAAACAATAAAATATTTTAGGGGGGAAAAGGAGGAAGAAAAGACATTTGAATGCAGAGATAAAGAAATACTCAGGAGGTGGGTAGAAATATGCTTTGGAAACGTACAAGTGATTATTATGGAGAAAAGATAGGGAAAAAGAAACGGATAAATCCCTCACTTCCCTCTGTGTATTTTCCCTCATCCTTTTCGATTGTAAGCTTGCGTGGGCTGGACCCTCTTTGCCTACTGTTCCCGTATGTGAAATGAATTTTGTGAGAATTAATTGTTCGTCTTGTGTCATCTATTTATTGTACATAATACAGACTAAGGAACGGCGCCCACAAAAATTCTCTTTTTTTTTTATTCTAAAAGGCTTTTTAAAATGCCTATCTCAGCAAACAAATATTCTATCAGTTCCACAATATGGTCATATTGTGTTAAGCCCACCACTACGTGACACAGCACCCTAATATCGGTGGATCCTACACTAATCTTACACTAAATCCAATGTAGGAGTCAAATCAAACAGTGTTAGTGCCAGAGTATTGTGAATATGTATAATGCAGATATAATGTGATCAACGTAATTCAAATAAATGCAGTGTCAAAACAAAACAATTAAAGTGATAGTGCTTTGATATATATATATATATATATATATATATATATATATATACTCACAAAGCAAATTATATATCTGCTCTATAAAAATTATAATAAAAGTGACATTACTAACCTCTTTATTGTACAATTATGTTGGAGCTATATAAATAATTGTATTTATATAATGCAATATAAATAATATGGTCTGTAATATGGAACTGAGTTTCTTAATGGAATGGAATCTTTGGTGTTCCCCAAAACTGGCAAAAGTTTTAAAACATTGCATACCATATACAAAGTACATGAATAAGAAATACTAGTAGGGTAAGAAATCCAAATGAGGAAAAAGTGAGGATGAGTAAGTATAGTATGAAAATGGAGAAAAGTGGATGCCACGAAGGCATGCTAGTAAAAATAAGTACATACAATAATATGATGGTTAAAACACATGCAGATCACACAGAATGAAATAAATATATATTTATGCAATATACATAATATATCTCTAAAATAGGAAAATGTTTTTGAGCAATGTAAAATATATTCCTTAAAATTCTTTTCAACCACTTTTGTAGTTATTCCATTTTATATCATTTAACCATGTTAAAAATGTTTTTTTTTAAATATAGTTTTATTTAAATTTCAGAAACATTCTATTAAAGATTTTGTGAATTGTCCTATACTATTAAGCACCATTTCAGCACTGCTAAATGGGCTGTTAAAATTATTTATATATTTTGGGTTTTCAAATACTATTCAATCTCTGCAGAAATGTATTAAGATGCCATTTCCCCTAAATGCGTCTAAATCATTTGTATTGTTGAGTCATTCTTCTGCTTTCTCAATTTTTCCTTCTCTTTTCCCAAGTAACCATTGTAATGCTAATATTACTTTGACATACATAATAAGAAACCATTGAATAACTTTGAAACACCCACTCTTGATGATTTACTTGGCTACAATTTTCTGCCGTATGACCCTGCAAAGAATTAAGGTAGGTAGATGTGTGTATAAGTGTGTGTGCGTTTACGTATGTGTGCGTGTTTTATCAGCAACAGTTCTGTTTAGAAGTAATTAAAGTGGTGTTCCTCAACAAGAAGTGAGTGGTACTCAAACATACATTATCCCTTGCTGCCTTACCTATTCATTCTGTAATTTGAGGATAATGTCTCTAAGTGCAGATGAAAATGCCTTCAGTTCATTTGAAAGGTTAAACATGCATTTAGACAATATTAGTCTGAAATCCCAACCCAGTCAAAAGATATACCGAGACAAAGTAGGAATTACTCTGTCTCAGTATTTTTCCTATGCCTGACATGTCCTGACACAGGGTAGAGCTACCGCCACCTGGAAGCGTCAAACTCCCAGCTGTCACCAGTGACAGGAGCAGAGATATTAACTGTATCTAAAGAGGATCTTGCGGGATCCTCCATAGACCTCAATGTTGCACTCTTGCGCCTGCGCGAGCGTACAATAGTGATGTCAGCTCCTGGTGCTGAAGCATGTAAGTATGGTGCTGAAACAATAAGTAAATTTCACCTTTTCCTGCCCTCCAGCCACCGCACTACCCGCAGCTATGTCATTATTGGGGGTCTTTGTAAATTATACAAAGTTTCCAGATGGTATCAGTGCCACTTTAAGGAACTCTGTGTGCTTGAGATCTTTAGCAAGGCATTGAATTTGCACACTTCCCAAATATATTATCTGCCAGCATCAGTAAAGGAACCAAGGAAAATCTGATTCCTCCATAACAAATATACACTCCCTATATGGATATGTTAAACCAAGTAGTTTTCTGTAGGGTAAATGAAGCAAGATCATTGGGAAGGCTTTTATTAGAATGGGATATAGACCTATTTAAAGGAACCTCTGTAAGAACCATACCCACTCCAGCACTCAGTAGTAATTATAGTGCTAAGGGTGCTCTGGTATTCACCCCTGTTCCCCCCATTTTAAGTAATTTTAGAATGGTTTGAATTCTTACCTGAGGTCTGCTAGGCACCACTCCACACCTTCTCTCAGCAGCCAGGAGAGCCAGAAACTGCTTAGTTGCTCCCATAAGCTGTCCTGAGCTAGGCCATTCAATACAAGGCTGGCTCACTACCTGAGAGCATCAATTGATCTCTCTCAGCCCATAAGCTAAGCCCTGCATTGCTGTGAAGAGCCAGGAGGCAGGTAGTGATGTAGATGGACATCAGACAAAAAGTCAAATTGCTCTACTTACAATGAGTTAGTGCCAGAGCACTCCTGGTACCACTACGGCACAGTTTAAGCTACCCGTCCACCTCTTTAAAATATAAATATACAATTTCTATTAAAAGAAAAATCAAACATTCCAATAATGTCTTTCCATTGATATTTAATTGTTGAAATTTGTTTTAAAGCATGTCATAGAAACATAGAATGTGACAGCAGATAAGAACCATTCGACCCATCTAGTCTGCCCAATTTTCTAAATACTTTCATTAGTCCCTGGCCTTATCTTATAGCCTTATGCCTATCCCATGCATGCTTGAGAACATAGCCAACTCAACAGTTAAATATATGAATATAAAATGTACACTAGCATGACTGCGTAGATGGAATCATACCCATTTCATCCGTGAGGGTAGGATATTTAAAACTCTCCCATTTCTTCTGATTTCTACATCCATGTTTTCCAATATATAAAAATACAAAGTTGTTGTCATTTGCCTGCTTTAGCATTGGTTGACCTGTTGGGCTCATGAAGCCCATTGGGTCTGCTGGTCCCCCACATCTTCATTGTTTTAAGTCATCTGGTAATACTTACAATCTATTTTCTATGATTAGTGCAATTTAAAGTTATAATCTTTTGGAGAACCGCATGAAGATTTTTCACATTCTCCTTTAGATGGTGGTAAAGAAATATCATCAATGAAAAGGGGTGACTGCAAAGGACCACATTCAACCATCCCGTCCGGAGTATCCAGGATTTTTTTAATGAATGGTGTGGAGAATTCCTCTATTCACAGTACCCTATTAGACAGCTGGTTTGATGTGATGATATTAATATATAATATATTTTAGTGTCAATTTCCACAGGTCATTGTCATACAGGAGTGACTGAGAAGTGTATGTACACATTAGTACTAGAATGTAACGGGTGGAAGAGCTATTAAGAGCTTTGTAGTTAGTATTTGTATTGGATCCTAAAGGGTACAGAAGCCAAATAAATGGTTAAAAAATGGGTGAGGTGTGAGAAGAGTGATGAGATAAAACAATAAGCCTGTTATACTATGTAATATAGCTATGTACTATAAATTTTCTCAACCTTCATTTCCATTTTATTTAATAACCTGTATTCTTTAGGGAAAAACATCTGTTTTAGAAAAACCAAAGCATTTACTCCTTTACTGCATAGAAGTATATATGGTTTGGTTTTTGTGACAATACGGCCCTGGCGTCTCTGTTACCAAAGGCTCAACAGTTCTTAATATCATCTCTGGGTACTTCTGTTAACATGCACAGCCAGGCCCGGACTGGCCATCGGGCATACCGGGCAAATGCCCGGTGGGCCGCGATGGTCGTGGGGCCGAGGCCGGCAGGGGAGATCACAGGATCTCCCCTGCCAGCCCGTGCAGGGCCAGCGCTACCCGAGCGCCGGCCCTGCTGTGTGTCTCCATGGGCTGGTGGGGAGATCAAAGATCTCCCTCACCGGCCCAGAGGCATGGAAATGCGGCCGCCGGCTGGGGAGGGAGGGAGGCAGGAGAGAGGACCCGGCGGAGCTCTAACAAGCAGCTCCGCCGGGTCCTCTCGCGAGATTCTGAGCGTTGCCGCGGTTACCATGGCAACGCTCAGATCTCGCGAGAGTGAACTCTAACCTGCAGGTTAGAGTTCACTCTCACCACTGGACCACCAGGGAAGGCAGCATGGTCCCTTCAAGGCTCCCCTCCCAGGCAGAACGGCTCCCTCCCCCTCCCAAGATAAAGGTAAGAAGGGAGGGGGAGGGGTAAACATAACTTTTTTTAAATTATTCATAAAAATATATATATATATATTTAAAATAAATTCCATAACAGCCCCCTCACAAACAGCCCCCCAGACACACACAGCCCCCCCCAGACACCCCTAGCACCCCCAGACATACACACAGCACCCCCAAACACACACAGCACCCCAGACACACACAGCACCCCAGACACACACAGCACCCCAGACACACACACACTGCACCCCCAGACACACACTGCAC